TTTTTGGCCTATGAGTTTGAGATAAAGAACTTGGGGCCTCTAAGGTACTTTCTGGTAATAGAGGTGGCCAGGTCTGAGGAAGGAATTTATATTTGTCAAAGGAAGTATGCCTTGGACCTCCTGAAGGAGATAGGAAAATTAGGTAGCAGGCCTATTGAGACATCTATTGAACAAAACCATGGATTGCAGGAAAAGGATGAGGACCTTTACCCAGACAAGGAAAGATATCAATGACTTGTGGGTAAACTTGTCTATCTATCTCTCACTAGACCCGATGTTGTTTATGCTGTCCATGTTGTCAGTCAATTTATGCATGCTCCCCAAGTTGCACACATGTGGGTGGAAATTTTGTAACTTGGGGAAGCAAAATACAAATTGTGGTGGCTCAGTCAAGTGCTAAAGCCGAATACCGGGCAATGGCACACGGAGTGGTTGAACTTCTTTGGATCAAGATACTCCTAAAGGAATTGGAAATCACTATGTCAGGACCCTTGAAGCTCTATTGTGACAACCATGCTGCAATAAATATTGCTAATAATACTGTTCAGCATGATAGGACCAAACACATTGAGATTGATACACTTTGTGAGAGAAAGGATAATGTCTGGAGAGTTATGTATCCCTTACATGCCATCTACAAGACAAGTTGCAAATGCATTCACTAAGGGACTTGCTAAAGCTAGATTTGGAGACTTGGTATGCAAGATGGGCATGATGGACATTTATGCTCGTTTGAGGGGGAGTGCTGTGGGACTTAACAGTGTGGGCCTTGGCCTTTTTATGTTATGTCTTCCTATTTCTTGTTGGGCTATACTTCTGTTATTAAGTGCTAATGGGCTTGGGCTTTTTTATTTTACTAATGGGGGGGTCAAGTTGTAATCTTATGTTTTTTGATGTTGCCCTAATATAAATATCAGTTTGAAGGGCTGGGTAAGGTGCTGTTGCCCTTCTTCTTTACCTTTACCTACTCCTCCATTCTCCTTTGCTTTACTATTTTGTTCCCACTTTACTAAAGCAAACACTCGCTACTGTGAAACAAGAGACTTGTAAGCCTTAGCATCTTCATAACACTTCCATTTCACACTTTGTTAGATGGAAGTTAAGTTTGAATAGCGTACAGAAAGACTTCTCTCCCCTTACAAGTAGATGGATCTGCCTGTAACTGATAAATCTTTGCATAATGCCGCTGTTCAGAATAGGTAGACTTAGCTTGTTCCCTGATTTTATAAGCTGTATCAGCCCACATAAAGTTTCTTCTCACTTGAGGCTGCATAGATACTTGAAGACATGACATCACCATTCTGTTTTCCTGGTCTCACTTGTCAGTTGTCATACTCAGCACCCCCAAACTTTGGTTCCCTAATCTTTCCATTGATATACCCTATTTTCCCCTTTGCAGTGATATAGAGTTTGATCCCTTTCAACCACTCTAGGTAATTAAGTCCATTTAGGGGAACAACAGCCATAGGGAAGCTCAAATCTACCCACCCACTCAGCCCATTTTGGATTGAGGATACACCAGAGCTAGCCGAATCCTCCGAAGTCATAGTAATTGCTTCAGGTGACACCTAATCTGCACAAATAAACAAGGATGCACTACAATCCAGCAACAGAAAGATTAACTTTTTCAGTCCACATAGTCCAGCACTAAGGAGGTTTGTTTCTCCAGTTCACACAGATTACTATTGCTGGAAATGCCTGTACAGCATCAAATAGAAGTGGAACAATCATCACTAGGACATATTTAGGCCCTACGATCACCAAACTTTCACTTTATTTCTGTTACAGCAAGTACAGGTCATCCCCTGATCTACAAACAGACCACAAGGATCACACAATCCACAAAAAAGGGTTGAAGACGGGTTCTAAATCCTTCACATCAATCACCCAGACCTGTTACAGGGGTTTTTATTGGTATGCGATCAAGAGAGGAAGAGGAAAAGGTCTGAGAAGCTTCCTCATATCAGTCCGATTTGTATTCTCTATCTTCTCTAAGAAAAAAAACACAGCAAAAAGAAAGAAACACTTGATCAATCTTTTTTTCTGGCCTACCAGACCTGCTCTGATACCATATTAACCTGAAATAATAAGTAGAAAGCAGAAAGAGAAGAGGAAAAGAGAGGAGAGAAGAGAAGAAGACTAAAAGCCCAAAAAGTTGTGCTGGTGGCGCCAGCATTAGTATTTATATTAGGGCGATCAAAAATAAAGTAAAAATAGAAAAGTGCCCCTGCGACACTAAAGGTGATCTGATGATAGCCCTTTTAACAATATATATGATTGCAAACAAGACATAGATGGAAGAACCCAATTCCCAATCCCAAGCACAACATTGAGCCTGGTAGACCAACCAGAAGATCAGAGGAACATTGACCACTATATTCCTCCCAACCCCCTCTCATTGATCTGTAGTGCTTTGTTCTCCGTAGACCCTTTCTTCCCGATTCATTGAATTTATCTGGATGTTTATTCATGTATCTACTATTTGTCAAATATTATTTGATTGTTAACAAGGAAAATTTATTTATAGTAATTAGTAAGGTATGTATAAAGGAGGATGGGAAGACCTACTATCTGTGAGCTGATTACAAGAAGGAAAGATAAAATGGAATCTGTGTATAAAGAAAGACCAAAGTGGTAATTAATGTCTAACAATCTCCTCTCACTTGGATGCAAAATTTTCTTTTTGCATGCTCTCAATCTATATTGCATGGTTACTGGTATGAGTATTGGAATCTGACATGAGATGTTGGACTCCATAAGCCCCAAAGATTGAACTCTGGGACTTGATGGGTATATTTTAAGTCTTGTTTCTATGATATGTTCTTTAAGTGTATATAAATAATGGAATGGAATGACTTAGTGCTTCCAAGTGTGTAGAGGAATAGGAAGAAGAGATGAACATGAAGACAGATCAAGAGAAAAAAGAATATTCAAGTGTGGTGCCTTTTTTATTCATATATACTTAAATGTTCAAGAAATTACAAAAAGACTATAATAAGCCCACTAACAATTTCGAGAAATTAGACATAAATACCCTTACTCTCTACATTCTCCTCAAGTGGAGCATATATGTCAATCATGCTCAACTTTCCCAGTACACCAACTAGTTTGCTTTTACTTGGAATCTGAACTGTGAAAGAAAAAGAAGGAAGAGAAGAGGGGAAACTAAAATGTAGTCAATAATCAGTCCACTCATCCGTCTTATTACTTACATATCTTGCTTTCAATAGGTGAAATGTATTGCTTCATGACTTCATGTTTTGAAATATTGCATCTGAACAAGTCAAAATCTAATTATGTCATTGAGGTGTTTATGAATCTAGGGGCTGTTGCTTGGTTCAGTGGTAAACTCTTGGGCTAACAAGCATGAGAATATGGGCTTAAGTTCTTGAGCAGTCATTTTGTGCAAAAAATGCCAAAAATTAGGTCTTTATCTAGTCTACCCCTCACAAGAGCTGAGATAGCCAGGACCATTATTGGGTAATGATCCTAGGTGTTTGAGTATAATTTCTCAAAAAACACATTAGTAGTTTGTTAGTGGACATCAAATATTAGTAGTTTGTTAGTGGACTGTTTTTAGTATAATTTCTCAAGAAACATAATTCACCTAATTAGACTAATAACTGGGTTTTTTTTCATATTTGGGTAAGTCCCATTGAGGAAATCATGTAGATGTTCCCTTAATTGCATCTCTGCTAGGGGGCAGAGATGAGAGAAACCTCTTGATCCTAGCTTAGAAGTACAAATGAATAGACTAAACTAAGTAGCATTTTCCTAAAGAGTTTTCATTTGAAAATTTTGATATATTTTCCCTCTTTGTTTGAGAGAAAACCAACAAATATAAATAAATAAACTTTTTTTATGCATAACAAGCAAATAAGGCTGCAAATGGTCTTTAAATTGTGGTTATGTGCATTATCATGGTGTGAGGAATCATAATCAGCCAAGTTTCATGAACAAGGCTATAGATGGTTTTCCCCTCTCACACATGGGTTAATATGGTGTGAGGAACCATAATAAGCCAAGTTTCATGAGCAAGGCTGTAGGTGGTTGTCTCCACATATGACTAAATGTGAGACAATGAAAGAAAAAGAAAAAAAAATAAGGGAAGCAAGAAAGGAGTGAGAGGAATAGAAAGAATATGGACCTCCATCTCATGTGGGAGGCACAAAGAATATCGTAGTGAAGGGGTGTAGGAAGAAACAAGATTCCCTACCTTCCTCTTCCTTTTTTTATGCTTTTCACACTAATCTTCTCTTTTCTCTTCCCACTTGCTTCTTAGTGCTAGAAATCCTGCAGATAAATTAGTATTAGCCAACAAAATGGCATTAACTCTTCTCCTTATAGGAAAGGGGTTTATATAGAGGAGGGAGGTAGTTAAGCAACACCCCACCCCTCTCTTCTTAGGGTGCCAAGTGTCACCCCACTTAAAGTGGTTAGAGCAGGAAAATAACTCTCCCCTAGGGTGACATGTGTCCCCCCCACTTTCAAGTGGCTAAAGGAGGGAAAATAAATCCTTCTTCCTAGGGTGACATGTGTGCCCCCTCTTCAAGTGGCTAAAGGAGGGAAAGTAATCTTCTTGTTAGAATAAGACAAGCGGCATCTCCTTTATAAATAAGTGGGACACCTTACAAAATTACTAATTAACATAAATTTAATTTTTAGGGCCTTCTGTCCCATTAAATGGGCTCTACTGCAGGCCCATTAAGTGCTTATTGCATTACAAATAAACCCAATTAACTTAGGGCCTGCTATTCTCTCTCTCTTTTGAAGCTGTGATTGGGAGTAGCTTAATAACATGCTCCCAGTCCAGAAAAATTAAGGACTTAACACAGTTATATGGAGTCATCCATAATCTTTAATAGACTCTTTGGTTGAGGCCCTTTTCTTGTTTGTCCATCAAGGAGAGTGCACACAACACAGGTTCTAACAAAGTTTTTCTTATTGATTGGAAAAATACAAACTTAATGCATATCTGTTTCTTGTCTCAATAATTGCAGTACTTTGGGGGCACGAACTTTGGACGAACATCTGGGGGTCCATTCTATATAACTAGTTATGATTATGATGCTCCAATTGATGAATATGGTAGGTGAAACTATTTCTATGTTGAAAGAGTATGGTAGATAAAACTATTCTTCTTTTTAATTTCTAAGGTGAAAGTTGGCAACCATTGTTTCATCTGGGAACTTCTTTGGATCAACTTTGATGTTAATACGCCGATTGAGTGTCTGTTAAACTTAATTGTGTGTCCTCTTCTCTTTAGGCCTGCTAAGCCAACCTAAGTGGGGGCATTTGAAGGATCTGCATGCAGCCATAAAACTCTGTGAACCTGCTTTAGTTGCTGTTGATGACTCACCCCAATATATAAAATTGGGACCAAAGCAGGAGGTTTTAGTCAAACTATAATTCCTTCTTAATTGAGTGACCTCATTGTTATGTATCGGATTCTATTTGGATAAATATGATCTTCCATTGTTGGATTTTGAGTTTTATCAATTTAGTTTGAAATAAAAAATGTCATCCTCCATTACAAGAGGTTTCTTTTTCATTGTTAATCTTGTATTCTTTTCGGTATATGATAGCTATTCAATATTTTCTTCATTTCTAATAAGGAGAAAGATGAGAAAGAAATACAGGAAGGTACCTTTAAAAGAATAGCCAACATCAAGAGAGATGTTCAAAGGAAGACTTATCGCTAATAAGTATCACATAAGGTTGCATTTGCAAATACATAGATTTTCTGGTCATAGAGGATCAGAGAAACTATTGGCAAGGTGGAAGTATAGGTATGCTTATCAATGAGAATCACTCTTACTAGGAGTGTGTTGTCAAGCATGACCATACGTTGGCCAAAATCTCTCTTAAGGGTAGAAAGTCTGGTGACAGCACAACAGCAGACTTGGAATCCATTTTTCAGTCACTTTTTAACCAAAAAATAATCACAAAAAATGAACCAAGATTACATTGTGTCACAATCGGAATAGGCATTAAACTTTCTATTTCAGCATAAGATAGTACTGTCCAACATGTTCAACAGTGATATCATGCTCCAATACAGCAACAACAGCACAAACTATAAGATTACATCATAGCAAGTCATAGTTCTCATAGAAAATCAGGTTGACCAGCACTAGTATGCCTTATGAACTGCATAATCATGTCTTATTTAACCTCACAAAGAGACCATTAATCATAATGATTCTATTCTTTCTTTGCATATTAGCAATTAGAGGGTATCCATCACTTCTTTATCAGATTATTTGAGGGAAGAAAGAAAAACATACAAGGAAATAGGGGGAGGTGATCGGATATCTGTTCTTCATTTGTTTCCAAACCAGAGAAGAGAAGCAGCTGGGAAATACTAGAAAGCAGCAAATTGTGTTAATTGGAACATGGAAACCCGCTTTGATACCATGTTATTGATGTGCTTCCAGTGGTAGAAGTAAAAGGAAGATGAGAGGAAAAAGAGAGCAATGTTGTATGAATAAGAATTTAGTCTGCTGAACTGGTGAACGAAGATATTCTAGCCAACAGATCTCTTGAAATATTTTTGATGTGAAAACTTTATATTGTAATGGAGGGGTATCTTCCCTCCAAACCTGAATTTAAAAAGTAGGAGCCTAGTACAGAGCTCTTAGCAAGTGATGTATCTTAAGATCACGTTTACATTAATCAAAGGTTAAATTACAAAATCTTTATGATTGTTAAAAAAAACAAATCTTTATCACACATTATTCTTGTAGAGATACTGGGCCAGATGGGCCTTATTTGTCATTCCTTTTATTTATTTTGTTATCAGAATTGTTTCTATTAGTGGGCCTCATTGGTATGGGCCTTTAATTACTTATTCTTGTGTTTGTTTAAGTGAAGGACTTCATCTAGAAAATATTTTGGTTCATTTCCGGTACTTCATTGCAAACAATAGTATTCTCCTTTCAGATTGTGTATTCTTCTATTTTTTCCTTTTTAATGTATCATTTATTACCGTAGGTGTACTCATTTTCAGGCACATGTTTATCATCAGTATGAGGGTCTACACTTAAATCAATCAGGAAAGGAGATCAGGTGCTCAGCTTTTCTTGCAAATATTGATGAACGGAAGGCAGCTACTGTAAAATTCTTCGGTCGGGTATATACTTTACCACCTTGGTCAGTGAGTATATTACCAGACTGTAAGAATGTTGCTTTCAACACTGCCAAGGTCAGTTCCAACTTCTATATGGGTATGAGAATAGTATTTATTGCTATTGATTTTCTCCTTTTCCTAATTTGCTTATGGCACTGAACAGGGTGGAATGAGAAATCTGTATTCCTGTAGCCAGTCCATATAGTGGGGAAAACACTTAGTTCAATTGAGTTGAGTTGAGAGAGTCATAAATATCCAAAAAGACACATGGCAACACTATTCTCCAAATAGAAGAAAAATAGAAGTCAGACATCCAAACAGAATGCCAATTATGACTATGACCACAATAATAGCCTATAGAAATTGACTTGGACCCAAATTTGGGAATTGTTTTGTATGACCACAAGTATGGAACCAGAAGTAGTAGTCAGGGACAATTTGAAATAGATGAAAAATCTTATAGAACTGGTTTTGTGACTAGTTTGAAATTGTGATTGAAATTTACAAGTTATTAATTTTCAAAACAATGTGTGTTATCTGCAAAAAGTGTTAGAAATAGGCCTGGTGGAAACAGAATTTTAGAACATTTCTCTCTCTCTCTCTCTATGCATTGTAACATGTTTCTTGATAACTATTTTGCCACTTCTGTTTCTAGCCTTCTTTTGAATGATATTGTGGTTTAGTTAATAATAAATGAATTTGATACAGGCATTTGTTATGCTCTAGTGCAACTCAGCATGCCTATGGTGCCATTAGTTTGTTATTATTATATGTCATTTCTATGATGCCTTTCATCCTTCATATTGATTCTAGTATTTTTTAAATATTTTCATTCTATAACCATGCTAAGAGACCCATATCCTTTGACATATAAAGGGACTAGGTCATGGGTCAATTGATTGGGTGCAAGGTCATGTGATACTATAATTAACATTATTTAAGAAATACACAAGTAAAAGTAAAAAATAATCTAATTGGAGATAAAAGGATGATGGGTCACTTCTAACATGTGCATATGATTGTACAAATATGTTATTGGAAGTTTGAAATGAATTCATTTTATTGAATGAGCAAATTGATGAGTTGGTGGGTTAAATAGCTATGTCATTTATGTTTTCTTTTTGATAATTGAACTATAGTTTCATTAATCAGAGAATATAGGCTGTTACAAGCATCCCTTGGAGGCGTGAGGTGCAACCTCCTAGATATTGCAGTGAAACAAGAAAAAAACCAGAAAAAATTACAAACTTGCCCAAAATAGTTCTTCCCTAGATACCCCTTGTTTGGCAAGAAAGCCAGCGAAAGCATTTGCTGACCTACCCCTCATTGGACTCTAATTATCATGTCTCCTGTTAACCATTTAATTTTTTTTTTTCATAAGATCCCTATTGCTCCAAGTAACTGAATCAGGGCTCTGCAGCAAATCCACAATCACCTTAGAATCTCCTTCAATCAGTAATTTCTCTATCCCAAGTTGGTTGGCAATCTGAATTCCTTGTACAGTAGCCAACAACTCAGCCCTTGTAGAATCACCTACTCCCACCTGGCCTGAAAACAGAGATAAGATATTGCTATCCTTAGTTCTCAAGGCTCCTCCAATCCTTGACAAACCTTGATTGCCTTGGTTACTTCCGTCAAAATTCAGTTTAATAAAACCTTCTGGAGGAAGTACCCAAAATGCTGCAGATTTATTTTTGTGAGAAGACATGTTAGCTATTACAGCCCAGCTTCTCCAAAAGTCATCAAATGAAAAAAGGAGTAAAGGAGTCTAGGGTTCTCAACCAGTGTATAACTCTAGTTAATATCATAGTTTTCAAGGCGCCAAGGCGAGGCTAGGCGATAGGGGGGTGCCTTGTCACCTAGGCTGGTGCCTAGGCATCACCTAGGCGATGGATTTAAGTAAAAACATGTATCTTAGGGTAGTTCCCTAGGTTCCATAATCATATTTCCTTAATAAATATCCATAATTTTCATAAGAAAAGTATAAACTTCATGTTAAAGTATAGAAAATAAAAAAATATAGGGGTTCTACCCCTATTTATATTATAGGAAAAGAAATAGGGGCTGAACCCCTAGAAGAAGAAGGTAAATTAGTATTTTATGTTCTTCCTTATTGGTTCAGGTTTTGAAATCTGAGGGTTCAATACAGCATTTAGCAATGTTTGTGTTGATTAAACCCTAACAAATAAGAAAATAATAAAAAGAAAATAGTTTATAAACACAAAAAATGATTATTTTTGTTTAATAATGTCTATTTTATAATTATAATCTCAAAAACGTAACAATATAAAAGTATTTTATAAGACAATATACAGAACTGCTAGGTGACTGGGCAAGGTGAGCCTCCAAGGGCGCCTTGTCGCCTTGACAACTATGGTTAATATACATTCCTTCATTGCTGGAAGGGTTGTTCTCTCCTTGTTAAGAAAGATTCTAGAATTCATTTCTTCCCAAATAGTCCACAACGTAGCTGCTTAATGCATCTCCACATGCATTTCCCTTTCTTTTGTTGGCCAAACAAAGGTAGATGAGCTAAACAACAATTTTACTTTTAATGGCAAAATCCACCTGCAACCAAACAAATCAGAAATGCAATCCCACAGAGTTGCAACAACGGGGTTGGAAAATATGTTAAATGGTAGCAGCCCTCACTATGGGTTTTGCACAATATACACCGGTTCGGGGATAGACACAAAGAAGACTCTTTTCTTTTGCAAGTTTTCCAAAGTGTTAATCTTACTATGGTACACCTTCCAGCAAAAGATAACTATTTTAAGGGGTATAGGCTTGGTCTAAACTTCTCACATAGGGAAAGACCCAGGGATTTGGAAAAACAAGCACAGAAAAAGAGCCTTGGAAAGCAAGGGCTCACACTCTCTTATTAGAAGAAGAAGGGTCCAAACAAACATTACCAAGAAGAGAAAGCAACTCAGTGTCACAAGGAAGTTCAGCTTTCCGTAAACCTTTGCGAAATCTGAAGTCCTAGTTCAAAGAAAGAGGGAGGGCTGAAGGGGAGAAGAACGAGGAAATAAGATCCTTTTTATAAAGGGAAAGAGAGTAAAGAGAGGTGAAAAGGTCTTTGAGAGGCAAGTTACCCCACCCAAGTATCTTCCCAAAAAAGAACAAGATTGCCCACACAAGCATCATGCCTTACACATTGTAGAAATTTGGGAGGAATGCCATGTATTGCCTTTGAAGGTGATGATAGGTAGCCCGATAAGATACTTTCCCAGCCTGAATTAGAACAACCATGAGTGCTACCCACCACCCTATTGCACAAACTCTCTCTCTCTCTCTCCATCAGCCATCTCCACAGCCTCTTTCGCAACAAGGCTTCATTTTTAAGAACCAAATTCCTTAAACCTAGCCCCTCGCTCTTTACTTTGACTATCTCCCAACTAATTAAATGATCTTTTTTTTCACCCCATGGTTCCCATAGAAAATCCCTCATTGAATTTTCCAATTTTCTAGCCTCCCTAGAGGGGATCCTAAAAATAGAAAGGAAGTACATTGAGAGATTGGTAAGTGTGGCCCTGATCAAAGTTACCCTTCCCCTCGAGGAGATGTAGTTCTTTTTCCATGTTGCCAATATTTTTTCAAATTTCTCCACAACTGGATTCTAGAAGCTACTTTCCTTAGGATTCCCACCCAAAGGTAAACCTAAATAAGTCAAGGTCCAAGAGGCAACAAAGCATCCCAAGTAGGCTGCAATGGACTCAACCTCACTATCCTCCAGATGAATACCTACCACACAACTCTTTTCAAAGTTGACATTAAGGTTGGAGACACTTTCAAAACCAATTATTAGATCCTTAAGGTTACTCACTAACCTCAAATTGCTTCCCTCACAAAATATGATAATATAATCAGCAAATTGAAGGTGGGTCGCTAAAATACTATTTCTACCAATTTTCCAGCCACTTATTACCTCCTCTCTAACTACTTTGGAAATTCATCTACTGAGCACATCCGCCACCAAAGTAAAAAGGAAAGGGGATAGTGGATCATCACCTTGTCTTAAACCCCTATAGGCTGGAAAAGAGTCTTTTACTACACCATTGACTAGCACAAAATAATGAGCCGAAGTGAGACATCCAGATATCTAGTTGCACCATCTTTCCCCAAAGCTAAAGATCCTAAGTACCTCTAAGAGGAAGCTCCAGTCCACCAAATCATACACCTTCACAAGGTCCAATTTATATGCAAAACCTATCTCCCATATTTCCTCATGTCCTCTACACACTCATTTGCTATTAGGATTTGATCAGTAATTTGTTTGCCTTGTACAAAGGCTCTTTGAGCATGCTAATGAGGGAGGGTAAAACCCTTTTGATCCTCAAAGAAAGCACCTTTGCCAGAATTTTATAAATACTAGTCTCCAAACTAATGGGCCTATAGTCTTTAGGTTGCTTAGCATCAATCTTTTTAGGAATAAGGGATAGGAAAGTGGCATTAACTCTAGGGCTGATTATATGTCTTTTTCCAAATTCCTTGAGTACTATAAACAAGTCCTCCTTAACCATTTCCCAACAATCCTAATAGAATGCCAATGTGAAACCATCTGGTCTTGGGGCTTTTGATTTATCCATGGAAAAGACTGCTTGTTTTATTTCCTCTTCCTCAAAATCTCTTTCTAACCATCTCAAGTAGTTCTCCTCCAACCTAGGCCAATCTAAACCTTCCAATCTCTCTTGAGACAGAAGAGGTTTTCAAAAGTGACTTGAAATGGCCCACCAAAAGCCTTGCTATCTCTTCTTGACAGTGAATCACTTCTTTGTCTATCTCTAAATTAGCCACAATTTTTTTTCTCCTTCTCCCATTAGCTATTGCATGAAAATATTTGGCATTTCCATAACCTTCCTTAATCCACTTATGCCTAGACTTTTGCCTCCAGGAAATTTCCTCTCTATGGAGGGCTTCTTCTAGCTCTTTTTTCAACTTCCACCTCAACTCTCTCTCCTTTTCATTCATGGTTCTGTGGGATTCTTTCTCCTCTAGTTACTCAGTGTAGGAAAGTAAGGTGGATTTTCGCTCCTCTAATCTCCTTTAATGATCTCTATTTCATTCTTTTGTTT